AATGTGACAAATACTATGACATACATAGAACAAAACAAGCCTTTCGCCAGCTATTTTCAGTAAGTTGTGACATTGTAAACCAGTGCAAATTGTTCAAAAAGATGAGACTTCAGGACAAATTACCTTAGAACATAGCCAAGGAAGGGGAAAAAAAAAAGCTTAAAGCCGCAATGAGATTAAAATACTAGCAGTGCCATGGATCTTGTTACCATATCTGGTAAGAAACCGTCAACACAATGTATTTTAGAAAAGTATCCCATTTTTTTTCTGCCACAACATCTAAGACAAATACCAACAGTATTAGAATTATCTTCTAAAAGTATCCCTAGGTCAACCATAATTTCACAGAAATTAATCCACTTGTCAAATTAATATACTCTTCAGTGGATATACAATTTCATTTGAAAGAAAGTATTTCATTAAAGTATACTGCGTGCAGAACATGATTGACTGAACATTATCTGCTGAAAGGTGTTTTTAAAAAAACATTCTTAATTATCCACCAGCAAGCCTACGTGCAGGTAGACAAACATCTATACTCAAGCTGTGACAATCAGGTTACTGAACACTACTATAGCAGAACAACCTTTATCTCAATTCTGTAGCTTTACTGTTTGCTTACAAAGCCGTCCTGCTTTATACAGCCCTCTGAAGAGAGCAAAAGAAGCAATTTTCCTTACAATAGAGTTAGGTTAGGACAAAATCTGTTAATACACTGAAGATGCTTTTAAAATACCACTACTTCAAATTCAAGCCCTGAATAAAATAAAGCCCACCTGGAATTCAAGAACTAATGCTTCTTAAGAACACAAAGCTGTACATAACCACAACAGAGATGACATTTTTCACTTTTGCACTATAGTGCTATGCTGGCTATTATGCAACAGTACATGAAGAGGGAGAAACATTCAATGTGGTAATCAATGGAGTGCAAGAATACTGAAATGTTAGTTCCGCTCTGACATAAAACTGAGATACATGCAGAGTGTCATCTATCTAGCATAATTAATCTTCAAAAAGAGAAAAAGAACAAGGAAAAATCTAAACAGTAAGAACTCACTGCCCATCTTGATTTCTATGGTTTATTAGCAACATTATAACTTTGTCTCACCTTCTTATTATATACTGGATGTTGCCAGATGTATTCCAGCTTCTCATGTCAATAAAAAGGCTTCAGTGATGTTTTTTCTGGTAGCTGTGCACGAGTCTCCTGGATACTAACACCACAGTGCCACCTTCTAAGCACTGACTGACACAGTACTGAAGTCTCTGACCAACTATCCACCTCACACAGAAAAACAGATACTCAGAATTGACACTCAGTGCCACAGAACTATCTACACTGCCTCGTCAAACTTGCATCATTTGCCTGAACCTGGAGAGACAAATTTGCATAATATTACTAGCATATTCACAATTTGAAAGCCTTTCAAAGGTCTACTCTGATACTTTAAAGTTTGGCAGAGTACAAGAACCTATTCTAGAAATGCTTTCAACCAACACCTTCAACATTTGCATACATGAGTCTAAACAAGTATTTCAAAACTCTCATCTTCCCATTTAGAAAGAATGCTTCACACATGCAAACTGGCACCATGACATCACCACACATTCAATCTCAGCAAAATGATTCTGGGTCTTTCACAAGAACAAGACAACTAGTATCGCCCTTCAAACAATATTTTAGTCTATTATGCCCATACAGGAATAACAGTCTATGAAAAAATTACATTATAGAGATAATGGTAGGATAGCTCCAACTTGCAAAAAAAAAAGAAATAATATCGGAAAAGTTTGGCAGGCATTTGAAATAAATACCCTAATATCACTTTACTGCCCTAGGCAGCACCACCAATTTCCAATTTAGCTTTATTTTTCTGTTCGAGTAAAGGCAGTAACAGGGACAGGAAAAAATATTGCAAAACCACAACTCACAGACACTTCTATCTTGTAACTTGAAACACTTGCAGTCAAAAGTAGTCCAAAAGGTGCTTATGAAAAAGTTTGAGGCTTTGTATAAACTCTTAGTTTCACTCTCCATTTGTCACCTGTCTTTATATGTACCATGTAATAAAAATAAGTCTTTCACTGCAAATACCTTTATTTACTTTTATGTGTGCATAGATAGGTACATACACACCAGGCACTACACCTACTTCAGCTCACAGCAGTGGAAAGAGCATCACGCAGACACTCCTAGAGCAAAATGCGTTATACCATAGTTGAGTTGGATAACTAAGCATACGTGGAAGACTTAGCATTGTCCAAAATGTACTAGGTTTGATCATTTACTCCATGTTTGGATCATCAATAAAATAACTTTGGTGTCAAAGAAGTAAATCAAAGGCTTTTGCTTGTATTGTTAGTGATTTTGCTAAAACATTGCTGTTGTAGAAGTTAAGATTTGAACTGTGATCCCACTTGAAGATACAGCTCTTTGAAAAATAACTTCATAAAACATCTTCTTAAGTTTCATATTTATTATGTACTGCAGTACATAAAGAAACGATTAACTCTAACCCCAACCAAGAATACTTCTGGAGGTCATACTTTAAGGCTAATTATCCTATTTAAAAATACATACAAAATTAATCATCACAGGTTTAAAGTCAGGAGGAAGCATCTACAGACCAGTGCAACCAAAACTTAACTTCATTTATGCACTATAGTTTTTCAGAGGGAACGGAAAGAGACAAGCTGTTACCAGTTAACCTTAATGTATTCTTTTGGATGACTTCAAAAGGAATGTTTTACCATTACTCCTCTGCAACTCAGTGTACAGACATTGGCACAGACACATCACCAAAGTTGGGTGGAAAAGGCGACACATTTTCACAACACCTATTCAAGTTATCTCGTCATCCTCAAGATGACAACTAATGGAAGGAAAAAGGAGCCTCAATGAAATCCAGGCAACAACGAGAATGGAGACAGATTTCACAGTACCCTCCTTACATTTATCTGCGATCACTTGCAGTAAAGGTTATGACCCAAGCCAGATAAAAATACATCATAAAAGTAGTTTCATAATAAGCATCAAACTCACTGTATCTAAACCAAAAGATTTAAGATTAAAGGCAGACTTAAATGCTGATTTCATTATCCTTTACCAATGTGTGTAAAATTTGATACATAATTTTATGGATGAATCGAGACAGCCTATATATACATTAATACAGGCTATTAACAGAATTCTTCAGATGGCTGCTATCAACTGACACCATTCACGAGACAGGACAAAGGGCAGGCTTTAACAAATGTTGTGAAATACTTTACTTTTAAGAATCCTGTTCCTCTCTCACTGCTAAGAGGAAATGAATTTAACATTTCTTCTTTTTACATTAAATATGTTAACTGAAAATCTACTTGAAAAGCAGCAGAAGAAAGTATTGACCTTCTCACAGATCTGGAAAACAAAATTAAAGCTATCAGACCAGACACTGACCTTTGACCATGAAGGCTTTACCTGCAAGTTTTAAGAGTTCTTTGATACTATGCCCTCTGAAAACAGAACTGATCAAGTGGACCTGTTACAGAACATAAGCCCATAAACAATCACTACTCATTTTTCTAACAGTGAACACCAGCGCTAAAAATAACAGATGCCTATCAATACATCAGCAGGTCGGGCTAGCCTATCCACTCTCAGTATTTATTTAGAATGGAAGAAGAGGGGAAAAGGAAAGCTACTGTACATCATCAAGCTGAAAAATCTTGAAATGTAGTCACTATAAAAGCATTACAAACAGCTACCTTTTTAGCTAATTTCTTTATTTAGCTAATATTTACTGTATTAATCAGCCATAAAGATATTAATAGACTACTAATAGCATCTTCAAATTAGTTACCACTGAAACCTTCAAAGACAGTTTATGAATATTTACCTGAACATAGTGTCTTGCTTTAAGATTTTCCATTACCTTGCAGTGTGTCATACCTGGCCCATTCCAGTTTTTTGGTTACAGGGATTCTCTACTAAACTCCATAGTTACTCTCAAACCATCTAAGCAACTGTCTTTCCTCTCCTTGTTTTCTCCTTGCTAAAGCGAGGGAAAGAACAGCTAATATCACATTACAAGTCATGTTTGAACAAGGGGAAAACACACCAACTGCACAGCGAAACACTAGAACACTATCAAGCCATAAATGAGAGTAGCATCCTTCCACTATATCCACCTATATTCAAAAAACAAACCAGAAGAAAACCCAATCTATTCTTCCCAACAGCCAATACAAACAACAGAGAAGATCTCAAATCTGACCTGGAGACAAGACTCTGGACAGAGCAAACTAAGGCCTTGCTACCTTTGGGGGCCTCCTATCTCCAGAGCCAAGCCACAACAGCAGCAGCATCATACTGCAGTCAGCACGTCAAAGAGACAGTGGCAGCTCTTTCACCTGTGAATTTATTTGCTTCTTTAATTTTTTTTTAGACAGCAAGAGCAGCATCTGTCACCCAGCAGACACCACAGCCCCTACGAAACGGACACCCGCGGCGGATCCCCGGGGCACTCCACTCCACCTGCCGCTCTCTCCAAAGGGCTCCGAAAAACAAAGCCCAAAGTTTTCCCTGCTCGGTGCGGGGGAGTTCGGCAGCAAAACAAGAGCCGGCATCAACACGAGCACCCTCCCATCACCACACCCCTGCCCCCGCACACCCCGCGGACACCATCCCCACCCCCCCACCTGAGGTCCCCTCGGCCCGGGGCAACCCGTCCCGCACCCCCCCCCCCCCCCCCCCGCCAACAGGGACCCGCCAGCCCAGCCGCGGCCTCTCCCCTGGCCGGGGGGATGGGGGGGGGGGGGGGGCGGGTGTTACCCCACGGGCCCGGCGGAAGCGGGCGGGAAGCACGGAAGCGTCACCACCACCCCCACCCCCCCAACGCGTCCTGAGCCTCCCTCCCTGAAACGGGCACCCCCGGCAAGCGGGGCAGCCGCCCCCCCCCCACCCCCCCCAAATTCAGCTCCCCCCCCGGCCCCATCGCCTGCCCCCCCCTCACCGTGCTGCGCTGGGGGCTCGGCTCCGCCGGCGGCTGCATGCCCGCCCGCCCGGCTCTGCCCCCCAGGGCCTCCGGGACGGCGACCGCTGGGGGGGGGGGGGGGGGGGGGGAGAGATGGGAGGGGGGGGGCGGCACGCGAGGCGCCCCGCGCGGTGCCCCCCGCTCCTCCTGGGCGCGAGAGCCGGCGGGGGGATGGGGGGAGAGAGAGGCGCGTGCCCCCCTCCGGGGAGGGCGCGCGGATCGGGGGAGGGGGACGGACGAACGGACACACACACAGACAGACACACACACACACACGGTCTCCGGGCGGCACCGGGTCTCCCGCGAGCAACCGGGGGGGGTGGGGGGGGAGGGGGCGGGGGGGGAAGAGGGGGGAGGGGGGGAGCCTGGAGCGCGGCGCGCGCGGCCGGGAAGCGCTTCCGGGATAGGCGGGGTGCGCCGCACGCTCAGTGCGGGGCGCTGAGGCCGCCGGGCGCGCGGCGGGGGGAGGGGCCCGGCCTGCGCCGACCAGGCTCCGACATGGCGGGGGCCCAGCTCTCGCGAGACGTGGCGGGGAGGGAAGGCGGGGGGGTGCGGAGGAGCGGGGGGGGCACCGGTTTTTCCTCGTAGTTCCCATCCCTGCACGTCCTACCGCGAGTTTTTCTTCGGCTCGGCCAAGCAGGGGTTTCCCGGGAGCCGGCTCCGGCTCGTTATCGGCCGCCTGGCCCGGCCCCCCGCGGCTTCGCGAGGGCGCTGCCGGCCGCGCGTTGCGCACGGACGGCACGGCATGAGGGGGAGGAGAGGTGTGCGTGGCAGCGCCCACGCGAGGAGTGACCGCGGTGGGGCCGCCGTGGGGCTGCGGCGGGCCCGGGGGCGCGGAGGCGGAGGCAGCGGGTGGTGAGCCAGCATCCCTCCATAAGGGCTTCCCCCTCTGAAAGGAACCTCTTTCTGATCGCGGGTAGGCGGTCATAGAAGCTTTGGGGCTTTGTTTTCTGAACATTGACAACAGCAGTAATGTCTGGGGACACGAATTTTGCAACATGATTCTCACTCGTGTAAGCGGGGGATAGGCGTCGGCATAAAAATGCCTGGGTGCTGCACTCCTACCCTAAGAACTCATCATCCTGTGCTATTCCAAGATGTTTGTGTGTCCCTCTGCTTGCAGGGCAGACTTTAGGCAGTTGTAATGATACGGATTGATCCAACGTGGACTTTTTGTTTATGTCAGCGGAGGCTGAAATCTTCCCGTTGAGACAGAGCCTTGCAGATGGTTTAGTAGGTGTACATTGATTTTTCATTCATAGACAGGGCCTTAGTTTGGGGTTGCATTCTTGTGTACCTGTGTAAGCTGGTCTAAAGTGTCTCTTCCCAAATGCTAAAGACCATGATTTGTGTTTCACATTTTGTTTTTCATCCAAATGCTTTTCTTTGTTTAGCTAGAGTCTGTCTTAGGTAGGTCTTCTTCTTAGCTCTGTTCATCAGAGCTGCAGAAACACCACTGCAAAGAAATTAATCAGAGCAGATGCTGAGTTCCTGTAACCACCTTCTGTCTCTGGTAGAGATCTGGGAAGTGCAGGGTGAAGGGCTGAAAGGAGGGGTAGCTTGTGTTGCCATTACTGACCCTCTACGTCATCTTGTGTTTGCAGAGGCCTTGGCTCCTGTGTCAGAGATTGCGTGAAGTTAATTAAGGAATTCCTGTGTTCTAATCCCTACATCGGAACAAGCCAAGACTGACTGTCATTTCTGGAGAGGCAAGATGCAAAACCAGAAGTAAACAGGATCTCGATGCAACAATACTGTTACCTAACAGGGACTGATTCTTATCCTATGATTGGAATTAATATCAAGATGCCGAAGTGCACATTCCTCAGCAAAAATCCATAGTTTCCAAATACAAATGCGTGCTTTTGGACCCAATGAGTAGTTCCAGTAGCTCTGTGTAGACTCTCAACATGTGAGAAACAGCCTTTTGTATAGCTCTTGATCCTTACGTACATGAGAGTCTCTGTGCCCTTAGTTACATGTACTGGCCCTGGCTTGCTGAGCATTTTTTTGTGTTGTCCAGCTACTGTCTTAGTTCATCCTGTTGTTTGTTGCTTCCAAATCAACATCTGAGTCAAACCTTTACTATTTTTCACTCTCACCCTGTAAACTCCCTGTACTACAGCTCCAGCCTGTCTTGGCTAAGCAGCATAGCATCATATAAGTGAGCTCCAATCCTTTATTTTTGTTTGGAAACAGTGCTTTTTCTCTGCAGTGGACTGTAATGGAAGACTATAACCTTGCAATTGCTTGATTTATCTTCACTCATCCCACTTTCAAAGCAGGAGTGTTCCAAGAGAAATTGCAGAGACTTCGTATTTTTCATCTGCCCTTAGCTACTCATAGAATTGAGAGCATGATTCTGCTACTGGCAAATTAATCAGTCTTGAAACTTCACAATTAATCATAGCAGAGCCAGTGCTCTGCTCAAGAACTTAGGAAGAAAAACCCTTACGGGTATTAGGTGCCACATTACCCCACAACTCAAAGAATGTCTGTTCTAACTTTGCTGAACACATCCCTGAAAGGAGTTCATTTTATTGCTGATCCAATTCTTATGTCTCCTCTTATCCATGTGACAACTGCAACAATTGATTAATACAGAAAAGTAATATTAGGAAAGTATTTATTTTTAGCTGCTTCTAATGGGATTTAGCAGCTGGAAAGAAGGAGAGCTGGCACGGAGCAATCAGGGCAGTTCTTAGACAGCTGTGTGAGAAACTGTACCAGGCAAGGCTCTGAAATACATCACCTTTTTTTGTATTTTAAGAAATGCAATATATGCAATGAAAAATTTGAAAACTAGACCTCAATACTCGCAGCTTAGACAGTAACTCAAAGTGGAATGGAATTAATTGTTAAATCCAGTTCTGTAATAACTTCTAGATGAAAATGCCCCTGGGTTTTGTGTGACTTTTTAAATTTAGTGCTTATGGCAGATACTACTACCCATCTTTGAAAGGCCTCAGGTTGGGATTTAAATTCCATGCCACATACATTTTTAAGCAGAACAAAAATGTAGTTACTTCTGCTCCTCTTTTCTCTTTATGAACAGCAATCTAAGAGACCCATTTTCCTATTTCGGAAGAAAGCAATTTTCTGCATGTTTGTGCCTAAGAATTGCAGCCAGAAAAGTATCTTGATAAAATGGCCCTGTAGTATTCCATGTGTTTTCTGACTGAATGGTTCCTACACTGAGGTAGTTCCATTTACAAATCAAATGTGTAATTTTTCAGTGTAAGAACAGTAAACCGAGTCTTGAATCTAAAAAGTCAAACTGAGTTTTTTTCCTTGTTGCACTGTAGTCAGTAATCTGTGTTTTGTCACTGAAATATGTCTTACCATTTTATTTGATGATGCATAAAGTAGAATACAGCATGAATCTGTTTGTCATAGTTTTAGTCACGAAAAGAAGTAACATTTTTTGGTCTTTGTGTACCTGAAGCAATTAACATCGTTATAAAAAAGCCAGGAATGTGTGTTTAGAGTAAGGAGGTACCATTTTTTCATTTAATTTTTGACATGGAAGGAATTTACCATGGGACAAAGTCTGAGCAGAGTAACGTACAGGCTGGTGGTAATACCCTGTGTTAGTGTCAGATCCTGCTGACTCCTGTGGTAGTTTACTTATGTACAAGAAGCTGCAGACTTAAGGGTCTGAGCAGAGTTATTTAGGTGGAAACCTACAGAACTAGAGCTCACAGTGAAGGATATCCTTTCTATGACAATTTTAATTCTGCCTACGAAATTAAATAGAAACTTTTAGTCCTGATATGTTAGTTTAAAATTCTCACACCATCTAGCTATTCTTTAATCAATCCCATTTTATTGGTGTGTAAGACCACCTCACTTCTCAGTCTTTCATTACACTTTAAGGAATTTATCCTTGGCTTTTCCTTATCTTAAGGTGAATTCCATAGCCAAAAAACGATTTCTAGAGCATGATTCATCTGCTAGATTCCAAATATAGTCAAAACTTTTTGAACCTATGCATCACCCTTTGTACTTTTCCTTTTGTAGTAGAAGTGGTTTGACTCTACTAGGTACCCTGGTTAGTTTTCCATTTCAAATTGTTGTCAGCCCTGTGACTCTGAGAGAACAGCATTAAATGTTTATTGTTTTAACAGGGATCATGGATCAAGAAGTGGAGTTCAAAATTAAGGTATCTTGGAACTTAAAGAGTAAACACAGCAATACTGAAGTTGAGAAGTCAAAATAAACCTCTGAGAAAATTGAAAAGATCCTAAGAGCACTTGAAAAATGTTATTACTTTGTCTTAAGGTGGAATCTTTTCTGCCTTACGAAGTGCAGATAGAAGCAGCTATCAGTTGTTACACTCTCTGAAGGGCTACTTAACACAGTTTGGGGAACCTGTTGGTGTATGAATAAATGTGCATGTACATCCAGTAAATGAGAAGGCATTATCCCTCACAAGTATCTTTTCCATGTCTGGTGTTGTCCACGACACTACGATCACATTGGTGTATATACCAGAACGTTTTCAAGGTATGCCACTGTAATCTCAAGTTCTGTAAGTGAGCCTAGCATGTGCGGACAGAACTCTGCTGCTTTTTGGGGAATGGTCTTTTAATGCAGTACAACGCAAACATGCCAGCGTGCAGCTTTTAGTTGGCTTTCCCTCTCCTCAGAGAAAAGCTATAGGGCGGTCCCCATTTTTCTCTTTGCAGTTTCCATAATTAAGTTTTCTCCTTCACAGATTTCTGGCCTGTGGCTTGGAAGAACTAGATTCTACAGAAATACAGGTTCTTCATAAGCATACTTAAAAGCTTTTTTGAAAAGTTTCAAGTGTTCCTTTGCAGAGTCCTCTTAACTGCTGCATTCCTGGCATAGTCATTGTCACTAGAGTTACTTGGTGCTGAAAGACTGATGAATCAAATCAGTAATAACATAAAGTAAGTGTCATGGCATAAGTGTTTTCTGAATGTTTAAATGGGATATGTAGTGTGAGAGAAGTGAAAAGACAGGCTTTGCATATGTGCCGTTATGAGCATGCATTTTTGTTGTTAGGGTTCAAAGGCTCTAATAATACAATTCAAAGAGGATTTGTGATTTTTTTTTTTTTTTTTTCCTAAAGTGACATGAGGACCATGTTTATTTTTTGGGTTATATATATAATTGATTCCTTTGGGGGTATTTTTCATTACAATTACCTATGGTACTCTGATCCATTCCAGTTTCTAAATACTTAGAGTTTCCCTGTGGTGGCAGGAATTTAAACGAATGATGTAATTTGCTCCTATTGTGTAGGAATAATGTATTCTATGAAATTAGCTGGCCTTTTTTATCTTGGGTGTGGCTGTACTTCTGCCGTGGTCACAATGACTGTGGTATAAGACCATTTTACCATTTACAACCTACGTGCGTTATATAGCTATACCTAGGTTGGCGAGTATGTGATTTGTAAAATTGCTGGTAAAGAATTTTGAACTTCTTAGGGATAAAAGAGATACATTTATAAATTGTCATGCTAGGAGATGGCATGTGCTTTTCTTAACTTTGGAATATGTTGGGGCAGCAGTAAGACTGCTTCAGCAGGGCTTAACGTGTGGAAAACACTTAATATTCAGTCTACTGAGTTAGCACTTGCTGTGTCTTTACTCAGTAAATGATGGGGCATAAGCAAACCAAGTTTAATCTAGCTAGTATGCAATTTAACACTCATGTAAACATCACTGTAGGTTTTAGTAAGGGTTCACAAATTTCATGTGTGTACGCAGGGTTTTCTGCAGGTTTGTACAGTCAGTGATGAAGTGTGTGTTGCTGCGTCTGTGTTACTCCTGTTGCTGTTTCTACCTGGAAAGTAGTTGACGTGAGTGTGCCCAACTACACTACAGCCAACTCTTGCTGTGGAAGCTTCTGCACAGAGGCTGCAGTGGTGTCACAGTATATAGACTGGGTTAGTAGCCAGAGATTAATGTAATTTATGACCTGCATGTATTGGTAGTAATGAAGGATTTTGTCTCCAGTCACTGGACAAAGCATAGAACTTCTTGGACCTTGAAAAGGAAGCTTTAATGTAGACCCCTATAATTAAATAGTTTAAAATGTCTTGATCATTGATTTCCACTGATTAACTTACTAGTACTGCATAACACCTTACAGCCAGAGTAGTTTTGTAAGTCAGCAGCATCACTTGTAGAGGAAGGTTGGGATTCCTGAAGAACACTGGTAATTCAGGGAGAGTTGAGGCCAAGATGGTTTTTTAATCCCAGCTTGTGCTGCAACACTTTATTGGAATAGTTCCCTCAATTCTTGAGAAGCTAATACTTAACTCTGAAGTCATCTGTGACTGCGTATGCTGTTCCAATCTCCCACCTCAGGACAGTCATCAGTAAAGTACTAAACTCTCATCAGCCTGTGACATATGTGAAAATTTTAAAGGTTATTCATAATTTAAGGTCTGAGCAGAGCACGAGACAGTGTTGGTGCTTCTCAAGGACTGTACACAGTGTGACCCCAGCACTTGTAATACCGTGTCCTTCTGCAGCCTTGGCACTACGGACTATTGTATGCAGCAGCAAGATTTCGCAAAGTCACTTACAAATGTGTCTCATGTAGAGCTGGGGGCACATAGCTTCTTCATGTCAAAATCATACCACGTCATACATGGTGTTTGAATTGTTAGTAAACTTGCTTCCCGAGTTGCATTAGCTTCCAAGGAGGACTTCCTTCATCTCCAGCCAGCTGAAAAGCAGCGTCCCTTCTTTCTACCTGATGCTGTGGTCTATAGTAGCGGGTGCTTCCAACACTTTCAAGTGGTTTACCCCAGCTGAAGTGAAATGTGAAGACAGCTGATGCAAAAAAAAATCTTCACTTCTCCTTACATTTGTCTCTCTGCTGAGGTCCTTTTGGTAGCTGCTACCTATTCCTTGGTAATAACTTAAAGCAATTAATGAATCAAGCCACAAGCATCAAGTGTCTATGATTCTGTTTTGATCGACAGACCACTGGTGGTTTGGGAGAAGCTAGTTACAGGACCTGCTGTAAAGCATATGAAAACTGGAAACAAACACTGATGTTATCAGGTGGAATTAGATGAATGTTGACTAAGGCTATTTTTAGGAAATTCCAAATGGTCTATGTAAAAGTCTATTCACTGAGACACTTGTAATAAAGATTCAACACCTTCCTGTCCCTTGAAGACTAAACACTCTTCAAACTTGGTCCACCATTTTTCTCCTTCATGAAAAGAAGTAGATTCTCAGAAGACAACTTACTGCTGCTGGTTTTACATGGAAGACGTGAATTTTATAGAATTGGGCAACTATTCTAAAATGCATAGCTTAGGTACATTAGTTCTGTACTGTTCAAGGCTGTCACAGTCCAGCCTTGTGTTTTTCTCTACAGAGGTAAGCAGAGTACGGAAACAAGTTCTGATTAACTTTCTGTCAGGTAAATAAAATAATAAGAGCAAGCAAAAGAAAGGAAAGACAATTGTAGAAATTCTCCTGAGCTGTATGACCAGGCAAAATTAGGGTGGGTGGTCTCCTTCAGGCCAGTAGTTTGAAAAGCTAGGCAAAGTTCACAGGTGAGAAGGGGAAAAAAAAAAAAAAAAAAAAAAAAAAAAAAAAAAAAAGATGAATGCTGGGTATCAGAGACACATAACTCAGGAAACTAATACCTTTTAAATAACCCTTTAATCTGACATGCAGCTTTCCACTAGAGAAATGGAATGTCCTTTCCAAGCAATGTATTCTCCTTTGTGTCAGAGTCTCTGCCAACACAGTAGTAAACACAGTGACTGCAAGTTAAGAAGAATATAAATGTTCATTATTACATTGAAATTAATGGAGAGGAGGAAGTGAACACTTGATATTTCAGAGAAATAATATCAGGAAAGTAGGTGAAACAGTAAACAAATTAAGGTAAATATTTCACTTGTCCTTAATGATAGTGTCACTATAAAGAATCCTATTTTTCAACCTCTCCCTAGAATTGTTTTCTTCACACACATTTTCAATTATATGTTAAGTGAGGTAGCTACTCATTTCCAAACACAGTATTGCATATTTCTAATTTATGTTGCCACAAGGGAGCCTTATTGCAATAAAACAACAAAGCATGTTCTTGACATGGGTTACATTTTTCACGTTAGATAGTGGCTGATGGCACTATTACTGAAGACTGCATTAAATGGTCTGCAGGTGTGCAAGATCACTTTTTTGTCTACTTTGTCCCCAAGAAAATGTTTTGTTTCAGAGTCAACATACGCCTTTGGAAATGTACCTTCAGCACTATAATAGTTGGAAT